TATGTTTTTAAAGATGGAAGAGGATGTTCAGCTTAGACATTTTCATGACTGAACATGTCTATCTGACTTTGGAATATGGACAAATTCCATTTAAAATTTGTTTGCTCTGCTAGCCTCTTTGCTTTCCTTTTCTGAAGCTGTTGAGGGAGGTATTCATGAATCTTTTACAATACTATAATTGACTCCAGAGATATTTTGCTTGTAAATATGTTAGCAGGTGTATTCTAGAAATCTCACTTTAGTTCCCTCCTTTCTCCCTCTCTCCCTTCCTTCCTTTTTTTTTTTAAAGGTAATTGAAGAGAGTTATTCTGATTAAAGGTTTAATATATAGTGATCTTTACACTGTGAAGCTTGGAAAAGTATTAGTTAGATGGTAATACCTTGAAATTATAAGTAAAATGTTAGTGGCAGCATATTCTCCCTTTTGGTGTGTGGTGATTGTAAAAACAACATAAAACTAGTTGAATGGAAGTGCTTTTAAATGACCACACATCCCATTACACTAAGAGAACAATCTGTTTCTATTTCCTTCTAGTATAAGTTCATGCTCTTATAAATTTGCAATCACAGTGCATGTGTCTGAGTATGTGGTATTTGATTAAGGGAAATACCGTAATTTACCTATTTAACCATTTTCCTATTAGACTCCTAGGTTGGCTCTAAATTTCTGTTATTATAGAAAATGTTATTACAACATAATAAGTTTTTTCAAGTATATGACTTATTCATATAGAATTATTTCCTTATGATAAAATAACGTTAGAGGAATATTAAGTTTAAAAAAACTGGGGGGCACCTGGGTGGCTCACTGGGTTAAGCGGCTGACTTCGGCTGAGGTCACGATCTTATAGTTTGCGAGTTTGAGCCCAGCATCCAGCTCTGCTTTCAAGCTCTCTGTTGTCAGCACAGATCCTGCTTCAGATCCTTGGTCCCCTCTCTCTCTGCTCCTCCCCCATCCATCCATGTGTGTGCTCTCTGTTTCAAAAATAAATAAACATTTAAAAAAATAAAGAATAAGAAAAAAATGGTATGGGCATTATGGCTTTTCCTTACTGTATTACTTCCCAAAAGGAAGTGTGTGTGTGTGTGTGTGTGTGTGTGTGTGTGTGTGTGTGTGTGCATAAAATATAGGATTTTATCTGAAAAATATTTTAGGATTTTATCTGAAAATGAGTATACCAAAAATATGCTTCTTTTCAGCTTAAATTATCTAACCAAGAGTACATATCCAAATTAACTTTACCAATCATACTTTTATGTCTTTGTTACCATTGTCATCTTTTTCTTAAACCACAATCAACTTGGATGCAATGTTCAAGATTCAATTTAAAAGAAGAGTTTCCAGGGTGCCTGGGTGGCTCAGTAGGTTGAGTGTCTGACTTCAACTCAGATCATGATCTCACAGTTCATGGGTTTGAGCCCCAAGTTGGGCTCTGTGCTGACAGCTCAGAGCCTGGAGTCTGCTTCAGATTCTGTCTCCCTCTCTTTCTGCCCCTCCCCAGCTCTCTCTCTCAAAAATAAAGAAACATTAAAAAAAATTAAAAATAAATAAAACAAGAGTTTCCAATCAAGGCCATAATGAGATATTGGTTACTGTAAAAAGTCTAAGTGCCAACTAGTTTTTTGGTCTGGCCAGGTAGCTTTATTTTTGCCTTCTAAAAATGGATACATTGAATTTTTTAACTTGTCTAGAACTACAACCCACTAAATGTACTTGTCATATTTTTCTCAGTCATGGGCTAACTGAATTAAGCTGAAACCATAACAAAATATAGGCCAGAAGAAAAATACTTGGTTTATAGCAGGTAGGAATGATAACAACTTCATCTATTTTACCAATTTGTCTCTACTACCCTCTAGTGGAATCATAGTCATAATGTCTTTACAGCATTGCCTCCAGATGACCAATTCACCACGTATATAGAGATTTATAAAGTTCAGCTTTATAGAGTTGGTCCCAGCATTAGATATAATCAACTTCTGGAGGTAATTACCTTTCAGCTGGCATTCTTGCACTGCTGTCTTGCCACACTAGTCCTTTCTGCTCAGTACTGCCAGATTAATCTGTTTCAATTGCAAATGGGATCCTATCACTCCCCTGCTCAGTTAAACCAAAAAACCTTTAGTCCTTCCCTCTAGACTGTTTGAAGTACTGCAGGTAAACTTCCCCACAGTGACTTCTAAAACTCTTCACAATAGGGATCCAACTCTCCTTTCCCCTCTTCTATCCCTTTACCTGCTATCCCTCCAGCCAAATCCCACTGCTGGGTGTTCTCCAAATCGGCTCCCTATTTTTCCTCTTTCTGCCTAGAACGTTTCCCACCGTCATTCCCACTAACTCCCTTCCTTCATTTCCCTTCGCCAAAGTTGGGCCTGTACTTCAAAAACTGGTTCAAATGCACCCTTAGCTCAGCTTTACCAAGCTCCCTCTGTCAATCCCTTGCATGCCAGATACCTCTTTGACACTGTGCCGTCCGTTGCATATGCCCAGGCTGCTCTCCTTCAATTCCCATTTAAACATCAGTTTCCCTTCCCAACCCAATGTAAAGGTCACAGCATTAATGAAGCCTTACCTGCCATCTCCAGAGTTTCCCTCCCACCTCTCTTGTGACCCCAAGCAATGTATTCAAGTCTCTGTCCCACTACTCATCACCAGAGCAATTCTTGTGAGAGATAGTGATCAGTATGATTAGGGAAAATCACACAGGTGAAGTGCTTTACTGTAGGTTAGGCCTGGATCTCAGGAGATGTTGCATGGATTACCCCCATTTTAACACAACCAGGTACTATTATCATCTGCACTTGAGTAAATGAGGTACAAAGAAATAAAGTGCCTTGCCCGAAGCCACAGACAGATTAAGGGGGAGAACCAGGATTTAAAACGCTTAGAGGCCATGAAGTCTCCTCCCTAAACTTTTACCTACAGTGATGGTGTAGCCATTCCTGGTGGGCTTTTTGTTGGGACCGTGTGGCTTCATTGGTTCCGCTCCCACTTCTCATTTCGAATCCGTGGTTTGGAACTGGCTATGGAAAGAATCAAATAAGATCCCTGGAGTAGGAAGAAGCTTTTCTTTTGTCTTGTTGAATAAAATGGTCTACTTTTCTCTTTGAAATTTTTTTGTTTTCTTTTTCCATGTTTCCCCATCTGCATTCTGAAACTGTGAAGGGCAGGCTTGGGTCCGATTCTTATTTGTCTGCCCATTATTTGAGCCAGCACTTAGGATAAAATAAGGGCTCCATAAAGTTATCAAATGTGGGAAGAACAGATATCTTTCCCTTTTTGTCTTATCTGGATGTGACATCACTTTACTTGCATTCCCTTAGTACTTGGTTCAAAGTATCTGCTGAAGGAAGATATGTAACTAGGTAGCCTAAAGGAAGGATAGTCATTTGGTGTATTTTTCTTATCTCGGCCCCTCCTCTCAAGCTCAAGGAAGACAGTCTAATTCATCATTGTGTCTTTAGTAGCCCCCAAACCATGTCAGGTGAACAGAAAACACTCAAGTATTTGGTGAGTGGAACCGAAAGAGCTTAATTTCCTGTGGTACCTGAAAGTGACTGTCTCGTTTTTGAAGAAAGAGTAAATTACGTTTCATCTGTATTATTTTACTGTTAGCAGTGTGTTACTGTAGCTCTGCTCTTTGGAATTTGTCAATTACAGGAAACATTTAAAATGAAGCAGAGTATTTTATAATGTGAAACCCCAGCTTTCACATTATACACCTGTATAATTTTGGATGACAGTGTATTGAATTAAAATAGAACTTCAGGGACGCCTGGGTGGCTCAGTTGGTTAAGCGTCCGACTTCGGCTCAGGTTGTGATCTCAGGGTCCGTGAGTTCGAGCCCCGCGTCCGGCTCTGGGCTGGACAGAGAGAGACAGAGCATGAATGGGGGGAGGGTCAGAGAGAGAGGGAGACACAGAATCGGAAACAGGCTCCAGGCTCTGAGCCATCAGCCCAGAGCCAGACGCGGGGCTCGAACTCACGGACCGCGAGATCGTGACCTGGCTGAAGTCGGACGCTTAACCGTCTGCGCCACCCAGGCGCCCCTTAACTTACTGATTAGAGATCGAGTCATAATCCATTGCCCTGTTTCATGGGGATAATTTTAAAAGATAAAGATTTAAAGAAGTACTGTAAGTACTGTAAGCTTTTACCTCTGGCAGAAGGGACTATCTTAAGCATAAGCAGTATTGTGATACAATTTAAAGAATCCATTAAAAAAATACATTAAAAACACCTCAGAGAGTCAAGTAAAACAACTGCTCTGATCATTTCAACAGCCCTGATCACTTCTCCGGGCTCCAATTATGTTTAAAATTGTTTGCAGCTTAACAGTTAGATGCACCATGTATTTAACGAAGCTTAAGTGTTCGGATCCTGCCTTAGCATGGGCCCTTCCCAGAGCCCTGAGAGGGGTGTTCACATAATCATACATTTTTGAAAAATGTATGGAATAAGGTAGTTTAGCCACAGTTCTGTAAAGCTATTGTTTCTTTCCAGTTCAACTCCCACCAGTTGCATTTCTCCCCAGCTGCCAGCAGCACTGACGGGACCATGAACATAATGGGGATTCAGCTCAGGGGAAGCTGAGTGGAGGATACATTTAGCTGAGGCTTAGGGGCATGTAGTTATCTCCAGCACTTCCAAGTCATTGCCAGCGATCCTAACATAGCAACAGCTTCTGGAAATACTCCTTCTACCCTTTCTGTGGACTCTGTCGGCATCTGGAGATAAAGATATAGGGTCAGAGATCTTGTCAGAATGGTAAGTAAGTGGGCAGCGGGTCATAGAGGAGAAGCTAACTTGTGGGAAATTCTTCCAGTCTGGAGATTTGTAAAATTACATCATTATGTCATCCAAATGGAACTTCCCTTGTGTCAGGAATACACTCATTAACACAGCATAAACAATCATAAATGCATCAGACAAGTTTTTGGAATCTGGAATTCTTTAGAATCATGCAAATTAGAATTTAGCCTAATACTTGTGTTTGTAGGGCATAAGCTTAGAGAAATCATACGAACAGCTCAGATGTGAAAGAAACTTGATAAGTGTTTTCTCAAATTTGATAGAAAGTCTAAAAATCTACATGATGTTATCAATAATGAGGTAAGAAGTCAGAAAAACCATTTTGAAATAATTAATTATAAAAAGCCAGTTTGGATTAACCATGTTAAAGGAGAGACTGAGTTATCTTTTTTCTGTTCATAGTAAATATTACAAAATTGCGATTCGTATAAAGAGACAAAGATAAAGAATTTGCCAGCTGAAAGGATGAATAAACACTGAAAGTATGGATTCCAAAAATTGTTGCCCCTCAGAAATGTAAGGTCAAAAAGCATTATAAGGATGTGTCAGGCAATCAATAAAAATATAATTTTCTATGAATTTTGTGACTTTATGGTACTTTTCAACTTTAAAAATTTTATAATTTTACTGTTTCTTATTCTCATAATATTCCCTATCACACTTAATCTAGCATTCTTTTCCTTTAAAAGTTGCCCCAAATGATATTACTTCAGGCCTCATGGAATTTGCATCTGCCTTTGGATATCTGAGGCCACATGGATGTCATATTGGTATCTCATAATCAACATGCCCAAATGGGCACTTACCCCAACCGTAAGTGCCCCTTAGCCTCTCTCCAGAATGGTAGTGGCATCAGCTCAGCTCGTTGTCAAAGCATATACCCTGGTCATCACTGATGATCTTCTCTCCCTCGGTCAACACACCCAGTTCATCTCTCAGGTCTTACTGTCCTAGCTCCTTACAGTATCTCATCATTATTTCCACCTCTTCAAACTGACCACTCCCCTGGTTTCAGAACCTGTTCGGATAGATGTGGAGCCTCCACTGGTCTGGTTCTGATGCTACCTTATTGTCCCTCCTCAGATCTCCTCTTCAGTGACTTTTCCTTCCTAACCCCACGTTCCTCATCCTGACTATGTCACTCCCTACTCACATTTTGTTTTTTTCAATTCCATCCTCCATCCAAGTCCTTTAGCAGGACCCTGAAAGACCCTTCTAGGTGTGGATATTGCCTGACTCCATAGCATCATTTTTCTGACTTATTCTCCAACCCCCTAAACTCCATTTATGTTCCAGCAATACTGAATTAATTTCAGTCCATCAAACATGTCTTTTTTTTTTTCTTTTCTTTTCAATGGACCAGAAATTTCTCCTCATGCATGTGTCTGCTTGGGAAATTCTTCATTCTTCAAGACTCAGTTTAGAACCCACCTCTGTTGTGAAGCCTTGCCTGACCCCTCTGCCCTCCACCATACTCACAACTATTCCTAGTAACCACCATGCTCTGCACAGAGCAGCCTTTACCTATCACACCTTAAGGATTTGCTCCCCACCTGTATGGGAAGACATGCATCTATTCATCTGTTACCTTTGATCCTTAATCATTGGTGAACACATTTCTATTCCTGACCCCATGCTCATTTCCTGAATTTCCAATGAAAGATTGAGATAGGTTGACACACGTGGGTTTACAGTATGGATGCCAACATCTTAACCATAATTCCTCTTTCTGTCTCTTTGTTAGAGGTATGAGGGTTGGAGCATGAAGATTATAAAAGACAAATTCTTATTATGGAGTTGTTTGAACATTTTACAAAAACCACATTACTTTTATAATTAAAAAAAAAAAAATGCCTAACTCAGGAACAGCCATGATAGTTCCATGTTTTCAGCTGTGATTAAAGGATCTTGAAACTGTATGTCTTACTTTTTCCACCACTTTACTTTCTGAATTATGTTAAGAGAGATCAGTCTTCTCCTTTTGGGTATGTTTTCCAGCAACTTCTGTGAATTTTATCCAGTAGCAAAAAGAGGGCTCGGCCTCTTTCATCCATCCATCCATTCATCCATTTATCTACCCATACAACCATTCATTTATTTTTGGACTAGGTAATACACTCACATGGTTCAAACTTCCAAAGACACAAAAGTCTCCCTTCCCACCTCTGTGCCCCAGGCACTCCTTCTCCTCCAGGCACAGTGTTTCTTGCATCTCCCTTCAGGGTATTTTATGTATTTACAAGCAAATGTTCTTAACCTTTTCATCTGAAAAAATACTTTAGTCAGCTTGGGCTGTCACAACCAAATACCATAAACTGGATAACTTACACAAAGAAGTGTATTTCATCACAGTTCTGGAGACTGGAAGTCTCAGATCAGGGTTGCCCGCCTGGTGGGTTCTGATGAGGCTTCTGAGCTTGTAGATGGCATCTTCTTGCTGTGTCCATGCAAGGGAGAGACAGAGTGACCCAGCTCTCTGTTTTCTCTTCTTAAAAGAGCACTAATCCCATAGTGAGGGTTTCACCCTCAAGATCTCATTTAAACCTAATTATTTCCCAAAGGCCCCATCTCTAAATACTATCACATTAAGGGGTAGGGTTTCAATATATGAATTTGGGGCAGAGGGAGAGATATTTCACTCCACAGCAATGTTTATTTCTAAAAATAAAACAAAACAAACATATGCAGTGCCAACAGATCTTTTTTTTTTTTTTCCTAAATGGAGTTTACCAAAATATAAATATGAAATTTTTAGGAGCACATGCCTTTTCATCCTATCCTCTTCTGTTCTTTTTTCATAGCATGTCAAGAATGGTTCTGAAATGGTTCTGTACCTCTCCTGTGCAGCCCCTTACAACAGTATTCAGGGCTCTTCAAGATTCTGACTCCAAACTCCCTTCTTTGCTTAACACCTGAGGACCCCCTGCACCCTACAATGGCGGCACCCTGAATTATCTGAGCTGACTTTCAGTGCTTTCCTCATGGAATTTCCTCTGCTTGGAAGCCCCACCCCCACAATTCTTTCTCCAATGTTTATTCAAATATCCCTTCCTCTGTTTGAATTCATAATCTCCCCCTCTATGTTCTCATTTCACTTTATAGCATAAATTACAGCATAAGTGCTAGAACACAATTCTAAGTAATCATGTGTTCTCCCACCCCCACCACCTACAGCAGGAATTGTATCTGATTAATTTTGTGTCTGGAAAGTACTTTAGAGACACTGAATGCAATTTGGCCCAAATAATTAATAAACTGTATTTGCTGAGATGATAGCATGAATTTATAATACCCCCTGAAAATTTAAAAACAAAGATAATTGAGTTAAATTGAAAAATCTAGCATCACAGCTGTGGAAGCTTGTGGTCTTCTTTATGCTGAATGTAAAACGGATATAATGAATTACCAGCTGTTTTTAGATGCTATAAAATGAATGCTTTGCTGAGGCTTCCCAGAAACATATATATGTATATGTATATATACACTCTCATTAAAATCAGTACCCTGAACTGGCAGAGAACAGTCTTCTTCTCTAAAGCTTTCTCTGGGGTAGTCAGTCTTCATTTAGAATGTGAGTTTGGGATTTTAAAAGTAAGTTTTAAAAGTTCTTAGGTTCAGGCAGAGATTTCACAACCCTCTACCTCCACTGTGAATCCCAAATGCTCTGCCACCTAGGAGCATAACATTGTCAAGGCCGTGCATTAGTACCACAAATAGTGCCAGATGACACAAACTGCTCACTGTGTAAAAAGGTACTAAACACTTAAATTAAATGCATGTGATATACTACCTCTATTCTTTACCCTAATCTGGTGCTGTTGCTGCTGCTGCTTTTTTTTTTTTTTTTAATATGGAACATGTCATCTTTGCCCAGGGGCCATGCTAATATTCTCTGTGTCATTCCAATTTTAGTAAATGTGCTATCTATAAGAGCATCTAATTGGGGTCTTATTTTTTTTAAGTTTATTTATTTGTTTTTGAGAGAGAGCATGAGCATGCAGGGCAGAGAGGGAGAGAGAGACAGAGAATCTCAAGCAGGCTTCTTGCTGCCAGTGTAGAGCCTGACCTGATGGTTGAACTCACATACCCTAAGATCATGACCTGAGTTGAAATCAAGAGTCTAACGTTCAACCAACTGAGCCACCCAGGCACCCCATAATCTGAGTCTTCTAATACATATTTGTAGATTTCACGGTAGTCACTCTTTCTTCTACATCCCATTAAGGGTAGGCCAAAGAGAAATTCTTACTAAGGGACTCTTATTATTCCTAGTTCTATTTTACTCATATTTTCTTAAAGACTTAAAGATAGTTCAAGTGCAGAAATTTCTCTTAAGAATATGGTGGAGGGCAATGAAAGAGAAAGTTTTGGATACTGGATTATTTAAAGTATAATTTAGATCTTTTTTTTTTCCTTTCATGGAATTGTGAATTTTTGTGTTTTAAAAAATCAACTAAAATTCTGATGTGAAAATACTTTAAAATTAAAAATGTAAAATTTTGTTTTTAACTTAAAACTTTTTAATTTTTAATTTTAATTTTTTTAAAGTTTTATCTATTTATTTTGAGAGAGACAGGGAGCAAGAGGGGGAGGGGCAGAGAGAGAGGAGAACAGAGGATCCAAAATCGGGCTTTGTGCTGACCGCAGGGAGCCCATGCAGGGCTCCAACTCACCAAGCCTAAGTCAGACCCTTAACTGACTGAGCCACCCAGAAGCCCCTGTTTTTAATTTTTAAATAAATGCAATCTTTAATAAAACACTAAACATTTTAGAAAGTGAATATATCTGTATATATATCTGTGTGTGTGTGTATGTGCATATATACATATATGCACACATACATATGTATACGTATATCTATATATCCATATATGTATATGTATGCATGCATGTGTGAAATGTGCTCCTTCTTTGGCCTAGCTGGAAAATCACCGACTTAGAAAAACATAAATATACGCTAGCTTTAAGTATGAGAAGTGAAAGTAATGGAATCTAAATGTATATGTAGTATCACTTTGAGTGCAAAAAGTTTTATTTTTGCCAATACTGGAAGGGGAAGTACCCGACCCAGGGTGAACGGTAGATTTCCGACGACTAGAAACAGTAGGACGACACTCTTCTGGGCTGAATGAAAGCGCCTGCGCTAAGACTCAGTTGGCGCCCGCCCTCCTGCTTTTTCTCCAGCCGCCCTTTCCATTTTTTTTCGCGCTTTAGCCACCCGGGAAGGCCCGCCCAAGCGTGGCTGGGCTCCGATTGGCTCCTTTGAAAGTCTACGGGCTATCTGATTGGTGGGCCCCGGACCCTTTAGCGCGGTGAGTTTGAAACAGCCTGCACTTAACTCCAAAGCTGGCTCTTGGAAGTTGAGGTGAGAGCGACGCTGACGTGGTAGCTGCTGCCGCTTTCGTCGTGGGATAATAAGCCGGGTAGAGTTGCTGAGGTCAGGGTCATGCCTACGGGGTGTGTGCTCGGCGGGGGTCGGCTCGGAGGCCCCCGAGAAGGAGTGCTGAGGAACCGGGTGGTATTAGGAGGCCGGGCTGGGCAGCGGGGGTCTGCGCGGGGCCAGGCCGGGCCTGTGGAGACTAGGCCGGGCCTCCACTCGGCTCCGGGCCTGGCCCCGGCTTTCCAGGAAGGTTCACGGGAGCCCAGACCCAGCGGACGTACACCGGGGAGGGCTGGGGCTGCCCTGGCCTCGGAATTGCAGTCAGGGGTCGCGGTCGGCTGTTCCGGAAAAATGCCGCCGACCTGGCTGAGGAGGCTTTCGGGTCTTGGTTGAAGCCAAACCCTTGCATTGGTTCGACGACGCGGAGTGCCAGGCTCCGTCTTAGGCCCTGCGGCTCCGGCCTGTCCCCTGTGCGCCCTGCTCTAGCCTTCGGGGGCGGAAGGCCAGACGGCTCCGGGGCAAGATACCCACGCCGGTTCCCAAACCCAGGCCGTCCCGGAACACCGAACTAACCTGTGGGCCTTCTCGGACTTGCCTCCGTGCCCAGGGCCCTTGTGCACCCAAGGCGTTTAAAAACACTTGGCCGAGGCATAGAGCTAGAGGGAATTTGGATATTTTTCGTTTTAATTTTATGCTTGGTGGCTGTTACGTACAATGCAAAGTGGAAAGCTAAGAAATGCGTAGAGATAGATACAAATATGTATGTGTTAGTATTTTTATTTAACACTAGAGTTGGTCATGTGCACGTCCCGCTTCCTTTAAAGACCTGGAGGTCTCTGGCTAGGAGATGAAGCCATTGGCATTTTACATCCTGCTGCTAGTACGCAGCCCCAGGAGACATTCAAAAGGCATTTTAAACTGACATCCTTTATTTTAAACTGTTACAAATAGGAAAATGGAGGGAGGGTAATTAAACCCAACTTTGAAATTGAACTTTTAGCCATTTGTTCAAAGAGAGCTCAAAGTCTTATTGTTCATTAGGCATATTAAATCTGGATATTGTAAAAAAAGGCAATTATCCTAATTATTGCTATTTTGTAACATTAAAATAAAAAATATTTAAGATTGGCCCTCATGACAATGTAGTGCAATTTTTTGTTCATTTAAAAAGATTTGTCTCTACTTCTGGGATATAATTTTGCAGATGAATGTGAGAAATAGAACTTAAAGTGTCACTCAGAGTCACCTTTACATATATGATCTTATTAGTGTGGAGAGGAGTGTGTTAGGAAATCAAGGGAATTATGATTTGGGCTTCTGAAGTTATGTTTCACTGGCAAACTTCTCAGCTGTGGAAGTTTTGAGTGTCAGCATTTTAGCAGACATTAAAACAGTCTTGCTAATGGGTGAGCAGTATGGCCACATTAGCTCCCTACTGGTGTCTTTTTTTTTTTTTTTTTTTTTTTATTTTTTTTTTAATTTCTCTACCCACTGTGTGTGTGTGTGTGTGTGTGTGTGTGAGTGAAATGTGCTCTTTCCAACATGAGACTGGAACTCACAACTCTGAGATTAAGAATTGTACACTCTTCTGACTCAGCCAGCTGTGCGTCCTGCTACTTGTGTCTTTAAAAACTGTTTCTTGGGGCGCCTGGGTGGCGCAGTCGGTTAAGCGTCCGACTTCAGCCAGGTCACGATCTCGCGGTCCGTGAGTTCGAGCCCCGCATCAGGCTCTGGGCTGATGGCTCAGAGCCTGGAGCCTGTTTCTGATTCTGTGTCTCCCTCTCTCTCTGCCCCTCCCCCGTTCATGCTCTGTCTCTCTCTGTCCCAAAAATAAATAAAAAACGTTAAAAAAAATTAAAAAACAAAACAAAACAAAAAAACTGTTTCTTGGGGTGCCTGGGTGGCTCAGTTGGTTAAGTACCCAACTTTGGCTCAGGTTATGATCTAGCGGTTGGTGAGTTCAAGCCCCGCGTCGGGCTCTGTGCTGACAGCTCAGAGCCTGGAGCCTACTTTGGATTCTGTGTCTCCCCTCTCTCTCTGCCCCTCTTCCACTCATGCTCTGTCTCTCAAAAACTGAATAAATGTTAAAATTAAAAAAAAAATAAATGTTTCTTTTGAATTCTCTTCAAAAAAATATGAAGCGATACAAATTCAGTCAAATATTATTTACGGAAATGTTTGGGTGTATAACTAGCACACATTGGTGCTTCTTAGAAGTGTTATGTAAAGAGAACATACTTTTGTTTTTTGTTTGGGGTGTATACATAAGTTTGTGTCTAAATTTGAGTGTTACTTTGTTTGGAAGAAGCAACTACTATACTGGTTAAGATACACAAATACTTCTGATGTTTTAAGAGCCAAGAAAGGTGGGAAAATCTTAATAGCAGAAGTCCTTTCCTTTATAAGTGTTTTGGTTTTTTTAATGTTTATTTATTTTTGAGAGTGAGAGCACACAGGCAAATATGTGTGGGAGGGGCAGAGAGAGAGGGAGACAGAGAATCCCAAGCAGGCTCTTTGCTGTCAGCAAGCACTGAGACTGCCCTGGGGCTCAACTCAGTAACCGAGATATGACCTGAGCCGAAGTTGGACACTTAACCGACTGAGCAACCCAGGTGCCCCTGTAAGTGTTGTTTTAACATAACTAATATTAATGGGAAATTAACACTGTACTAGAGACTGTGGAAAATGCTTTACACATTGTATCTCATTACAAACTTTAAACCACCTTTTGAGTTATAGTGGCAGGTGATCATGTGATCAAGTTAGTTTTTCCTCTCATTCTAGGATCTACCATATCTACGATTAAATATGGAAGACTATACCAAAATAGAGAAAATCGGAGAAGGTGAGTGTTTTTAATACCCAAGTTTTAAAAAAGGATTTTGTAATGCTTATAACATCTGTGACATAAAGACATGTAAATATTAAAATCAAATCTTTATCCTGTGCTAATGTGCATTAATTATATGTTCTTTACATGGTAACTTAAACACAAAAATGTTCATATCCAAGAGAATTGAAATTATTCTGATATGATTACCTGGCAACCCTCTTCCCCCCAATTATCTTAAATATGAAACATTTAAAGCAGTATTTATAATTTGAGAAGACTGTTGATAACTCGTATGTGTGTTGGGAAAGGTTAGGGCAGTAGAATTAGGTTTAACAGTGTACTTTTAATCTCCTACAATTGTTTTTAAGGTAAATATTTTTACCTAAACTTTCTAAGCTGCTACAATAAGCTATTAAGCCAATTTAAATAAGTTTTCTATATAGTTTCCCTAGATTTAAATGATCTGTCTTGTTTACATGTTTAAACAATTCTAAACCAATAACTCTTATGTATAATTATTCATTCCCTTTCTGTAGTACTTTCATTAAAGTTTTTAAAGAATGTTTATATGGCATAAGTGATGGGTAAAAATATCCCTTTGCCTTTTTCCCCCCAACATAAAATCTAACTTTCTTTTTTAATTTTTAAAGTTTGTTTATTTATTTTTGAGAGAGAAGGATAGAGAACATGTGAGTGAGGGAGAGGCATGAGGGAGAGAGAATC